CTATTCTGAAACAGGATTTTATTTATTATCTGTTTTCTTTTCTTTTTGACCTTATCCAAAACAAACTTTTTTTTCAATGAGAAACAGAAACAAGAGTATTGAAACACAATGTAAAAAAATATTTATTGTTTCAATTCCCTTTTGCATGTTTTTCCCAGACATTTAGAATCAAAACAATTAAGTTAGAAAAGAATGGCCCACACACATTCAAAAGATAAGTCAGTTCTTCAGTCAGGATATTGACATACGTTAAGTAAGTTAAGAACTTCAGAAAATAGTTAGAAAAAAATGAAATTGATATCATAGTAGATCTGATATAGTTTCATTCCCTGGGAAACCCGGAGCATCAAACATCGTTGGCAAATACTTTATCACCAGCTCTACCAATGCTGAAAAACCTCATTTGGTAACTTTACTATGCACAGGTCAAGTAGCATGTGACAGTAACTGTCCAATATGGGAAATGTATAAAGTATGCTCCCATTCGATTGCAGCAGCAGAACACTGTAATTTACTTGAAAAGTTTGTTAACCAAAACCATTAATTTAAATCGTAAAGGTCTTGCAAATATAAATATGCCTTGCGGAAGAGGTAAAAAGCCACACAAAGCAACACAGAAGCGTAAAGGGGAGGCCATTAAAATCAACAAAAAAGTTTAACTTATTTGGATGATCAAGACCAACCAAAAGTTCCAGCTCCAAGTCCACACGATGGAGGATATATAATATATTTTCTTAAAAGATTATGACAATAAAGAGTCGAAATGCTATGGATGAAGGGAAACTTAAAACATGAAGGGCAAATACCCCAACCACCAGGGAATTTAGTTGTTGTTTCTAGAGGGAGACATGCATATTTCAAAGATTGCACAAAATTATATGGAGAAATAAACAATATTTATTTTCATCTGTCTAAACAATGCATCAAGTCAAAAAATACCTTTTTTGTTCCATCATTAGTATATGTAGCACCATATGTGGTGAGTCAATTTCAACAGAATCAAAAAGATTTGTTTGATGAATGAATTATTACATATAACATATAAGTATACTCTTTCTGTAAAGATATTTGGAATGTATGTCGGTTTTTTTTGTTGTTGTTTATTATATGCTAATTCTATCTTATAAAAGTTTGATATTGAAATTAAGATTTTATTTCCATGAAAGTCAAAGCTTTTAAATTATTGAGGTTAAAATGAAGATTTTTTTTTTTGCTGCGAATCAATTATCTAGATTTAAGAAAATATTCAGTTTGGAGGAGTATTTAGTACCGGTACACGTAGTTTTATATTTCACTAAAATAATTAAATGGTTTGCATGTGCATTTGCATTGTTAAAGACCAGTGTTTTGTTTATATTTGTAGATAGTGTGAAGGGACTGAGTTAACAGATTTTTCATACATGTATATTTTTTATTCTACAACAAATTGAAATATAAATCATAAATAATAATAAAAGAAGACACATTCTTTGATTGATATTGTGTATTAACTGTTCCTTCGTGCAACAATTTTCACATATAAAAACATGTGGTATCTATCAACTAACATAGTATTATATGAGTGACAGTTTAATTTGAAAGTATGGTGTTTTCTAATTGATGCAGCAGATACATTCACCTTTTATTCACATTTTTTAAATGTGATTTCTTGGGCATACATGTAGACACACAGAATATGCAACTGTTGAAAGTGTCATATTTCAAAACAATATAAAAGTTGGTCATTGACAGAAGGTTAAGCAATAAAACTTTAACTACATTATCTAGCTTATAATCATAAGATATGCAGCACTTCCCAAAATTTCAAAGACTAATTGACAGAATTTTCAATGTTTTAGGACGGGACATAATATTTATCTTATCTTAACTTTATGGTTATCAGAGATGTTTAAATTGAGTTTTCTCTTGTTTTCTGTTCACAAATTTATGTAAGTGATCTGTTTTGTCTACATCCACTTTTTTTAGTAATATTTTCTTTTCATGAATAAAACAGATACATAATGTCAGCCAATTAAAAAAAATCATGTTTCAAAATTGCCTTAATTAACTTTTCAAAATTTCCTATATCAAAAAACAATACCATGCTTCATACCATCAAATTATACCACGGTATAGTAATTTGTACCATACCATCATACCATACCATGGTACCATTCATGCATACCATGGTATGGTGGTATTCGTACCATACCACCATACCATAACACATACCATACCATCGTACCATACCATGTTTTACAGTATGCCCCCATAATCATAATAAAAACAACAAATAATAAGTTTGAATTTTGGCAATTATGTGTCATGGATTTATTAGGACAGTTCAACTATACATCAACTGGCCAACGAATTTGCATTCATCGACAATGTCTCATTAATGTCCAAGATGAAAACATTGAAGGGCAACCAGATATTATGGAACGCCACAGCTGTCTTATGTGGAACTCTGATATTACGTTATGTTGTTCTGTTATTACTTGATGATAGTTTGTCTTTACATAATATGATTTTGACATTACGTAATGATGTGTTGATATAACTCAATATGGAAAGTCATTACTTAATGATATTCCGATATTACATGATATGGTTTCGTATTGACTTGATATAGTTTTGTCATTACTTAATATGGTTTTGTCATTACTCGATGTGGTTTCACCATTATTTAATGTGGTTGTGTCATAAGCCAATGTGGTTTTAACATTACTTGATGTGTATGTGACTTGACGTAATGTAGTTGTTTCATTACATGATGTGGTTTTGTTATTTCGTAATGATGATTTGCTTTATATGGCTTTAACATTACGTAATGATGTTTCAAAATTTGACGATTTTACACTACATGATGTGTTTGTTTCAGTATTTGGAGGTATAATAGTAGTGGTTTTTAGGATTTAAAAACCACGATATGGACCACGCTCTGATTGGCTTATTTATTTTTCATTTTTGTTATCTATCATACAATTGGTTCTTAATGTTACTCGGATTTATTCTACGAAAAAGAGAATTTCCGAAGTGTACTTTCTGTTTCGATTTCACGTTATATTTATATTGCTGTTAACTGACGGGTAAGTGAGTCCTAAAGATGCAGAAAAGGGTAAACACGAAAACAAAAATTGCCTGTTTACGACCAAATAACAAACATACCTTTGCTTTAAACATTTAGGCCAAAATATCAGGCTCTGGTCCAACCTGGGATTTATAAAATTCCCTGTATAAGTTAATCACTATACATTTAAGTCTTATAACTAGTGAGTAGTGTGATCATGTTGATAGTAAGAGTTTTCCCCTGATATTCATGATTATATGATTACACGGTGTGATTATGTTGATAGTTAGAAGAAATTATTATTCATGATAAGTTGATCACACATTCAAATCATGTTTAAACAGTTAGGCCATGATGATTGTTTGATTATTGCCCTTAATATTCATAATCATATGATTACACAGTTAGGCCGTGGCGATCGTCTGATTATTGCCCTTGATAATCATGATCATATGATTAAACAGTTAGGCCATGACGATTGTTTGATTATTGCCATTAATATTCATAATCATATGATTACAAAGTTAGGCCGTGATGATCGTCTGATTATTGCCCTTGATAATCATGATCATATGATTTAACATTTTAGGCCATGATGATCGTCTGATTATTGCCCTTGATAATCATGATCATATATGATTAAACAGTTAGGCCATGATGATTGATTGATTTTTGCCCCTGATAATCATGATCATATGATTGAACAGTTAGGCCATGATGATTGTTTGATTATTACCATTAATATTCATGATTATCTGATTACGCAGTTTGAACATGATGATCGTTTGATTATTGCCCTGAATATTCATGATCATCTGATTACACAGTTTGAACATGATGATCATTTGAATATTGCCCTTTTATTCATGATCATCTGATTACACAGTTTCGAACATGACGATCATTTGATTATTTTTACCCTTAATAACCATAATCATATGATTGAATAGTTAAACATGATAATCTATTGATTATTGCCTTTACTATTCATGATTATCTGATTACATATTTTTTATTATTGCCCTTAATATTCATAATTATCTAATTTAAGGTTTGATTATTGCTCTTGATATTCATGATAGATTAGATAATGTAATATCACACTTTGATCATGTTAATCATTTGATTATTGCCCTTATTATTCATGATCCATGATTCCAGGATTTTGAAAAAGGGGTGAGGCCCTATGGAAAACCTACGTTTGGAGCAATATGTTTAAAAGTGTATACATTTATCATATATGAAGCTCCCTGCCCCCTCTAAATCCGCCTTTGATGATCATGTGATTACAGGGTTTAATCATCATCATCATTTTTAATCGATTGTTTGATTATTGTCCTTTATAACCTGGTTTAATCATGGCGATAGTTTCGATTTCTGCCCTAAAAATTCATGATCATGTTATTATATCGGTTGATCATTTTATTAGTTTGAATTCTCCCCTAATGTTTATGATTATGTAGTTACACTTTGATCATGTTAATCATGTTAGTAGTTTGATTACTGCACTGGTATTACAATATATATATATATATATAAAGCCTGTACCTAAGAACCATATCAACAATACATACATGTCATATAGACTGTACCTAAGAACCATATAGACAAAACTTATAACCTGAACCTAAAAACCATATAGACAATTAATAAAGCATATATCTAAGAACAAATGACAATACATGTACCCTATATCTAAGAACCAGATATGATACATATAAACTAAACATAAGAACCATAGAAAATACATTAAGCCTATATCTAAGAACCATAGAAAATACATATAGACTGTACCTAAAGACCATAGACAACATAGATAATCTAAGAATTATAGACAACATATAACGCCTTTATCTAACAACTATATACTATACATATAGACTGAACCTAGGAACCATATAGACAAAACATATGGCCTTTCTCTAAGAACCATAGATAATTCATTTAAACTAAACCTAAGAACCATAGACCATACATGAAGCCTTTATCTGAGAACCATAGACAATACATATAGACTGAACATAAGAACCATAGACAATACATATAGACTGTACCTAAGAACCATAGACAATACATATAGACTGAACCTAAGAACCATAGACAATATATATATATAGACTGAACCTAAGAACCATAGACAATACATATAGCCTATATCTAAGAACCATAGACAATTCATATAGACTGAACCTAAGAACCTTAAACAATACATATAGACTGTACCTAAGAACCATAGACAATACATATAGACTGAACCTAAGAACCATAGACAATATATATATAGACTGAACCTAAGAACCATAGACAATACATATAGCCTATGTCTAAGAACCCTAGACAATTCATATAGACTGAACCTAAGAACCTTAGACAATACATATAGACTGTACCTAAGAACCATAGACAATACATATAGACTGTACCTAAAGACCATAGACAACATATCAAGCTGATATCTAAGAATTATAGACAATATATAACGCCTTTATCTAACAACTATATACTATACATATAGACTGAACCTAGGAACCATATAGACAAAACATATAGCCTTTCTCTAAGAACCATAGATAATTCATATAAACTAAACCTAAGAACCATAGACCATACATGAAGCCTTTATCTGAGAACCATAGACAATACATATAGACTGAACATAAGAACCATAGACAATACATATAGACTGTACCTAAGAACCATAGACAATACATATAGACTGAACCTAAGAACCATAGACAATATATATATATAGACTGAACCTAAGAACCATAGACAATACATATAGCCTATATCTAAGAACCATAGACAATTCATATAGACTGAACCTAAGAACCATAGACAATACATATAGACTGTTTCTAAGAACCATATACAATACATACAGACTGAACCTAAGAACCATAGACAATACATATAGACTGAACCTAAGAACCATAAACAATATATATATAGACTGAACCTAAGAACCATAGACAATATATATATAGACTGAAGCTAAGAACCATAGACAATACATATGGCCTATATCTAAGAACCATAGACAATTCATATAGACTGAACCTAAGAACCATAGACAATACATATAGACTGAAGCTAAGAACCATAGACAATACATATGGCCTATATCTAAGAACCATAGACAATTCATATAGACTGAACCTAAGAACCATAGACAATACATATAGACTGTACCTAAGAACCATAGACAATACATATAGACTGAACCTAAGAACCATAGATGATACATATAGACTGTACCTAAGAACCATAGACAATACATATAAACTGAACCTAAGAACCATAGACAATATATATATATAGACTGAACCTAAGAACCATAGACAATACATATAGCCTATATCTAAGAACCATAGACAATTCATATAGACTGAACCTAAGAACCTTAGACAATACATATAGACTGTACCTAAGAACCATAGACAATACATATAGACTGTACCTAAGAACCATAGACAATATATATATAGACTGAACCTAAGAACCATAAACAATACATATAGCCTATATCAAGAACCACTGACAATTCATATAGACTCTACCCAAGAACCACAGACAAAAAACTGAGACAATACAAATTGCATGTACCTATGAACTATAGAAAATACACAACCTGTACCTGAGAACCATAGACAATACATATAGCCTGAATGTAAGATCTATTGCTCAAGCATGACATTCACTCTTTGGGGGACACTATACAATGGCTTAGTACCACAAGCATTATTGGTAAACTTTATATAAATATAATAGCATTCCAATTTCTTCTGGCATTCTGGCTCCCTCGACCAACAAAAATTGTCTGCCTTGAAGTAAGTCAATGCTGCAAAAATCAACCAAATCAATAGATTTAAATTTAGTCAAGCCTGAGATGTGAGGAATGTTAAATCACACATGATTTAGAGGGGTTTAGAACATACAGCCAGCACAACATATACATCTTGTTTCCACTTACTTGTGCAGGCCTAAGTTTCTTTATTTCTTTTGGTAATAATGATTCATAAAAATAAATGGTAGTGCATAATACATGTAATAGCTGATCTAGTTTGATAAATAATTTACCAATTATTTATAGGACCAAGAAAACAACAAGGAAGATTGGGAAAAGGCGAAGAAGCTGGTTAGTTAAATTTAAATAATCCAACAATTTCTACTAGGAGTTCTACCTTTTATACTTTAGATTTATATATGCAGCTACATCCATTAATTTGGATCAATTTTGTTTTTCATTGATTGAGAAAAATCATACTTTAATGGATATTTAGATTCATGGTTTTGCAAAAGGCTGCATTCAAGCTAATACAGAATGGCTTCTTTATTAAATACAATGTATTTAAATTTGAAGTAGCGGTTTACCCATGCCCAAGAAATCGACAAAAATGTGTATTCCACAAATAATTATGAAGCCACAATCCTCAAAATTTGATATAAGTCAAAATATCTGGTGTTTGGCATTTTCGTTAAATTTGTTATACATCTAAACTGATAATTTTGATCAAATTGTTCTTTTTAAAAGTTTACATTGACCAAAAATAATCACAGAGAAGAAATAGATTTTTACCTATGTTTTCTAGGTTCTATGAACACTTGTTCTGTCCAAGTCTTTTTGGGACATTTCTTTTTACTTCCAGGTGAATAAAATGTTGGAAAATGGTGAGACCGTGGTGTCAATTATATTGAACAAAGAAACCAAGTCCATTGAGTTTTGAAGTAAGCACACAAATGGTACAATATCTATTCATGAGTATACTATATTGATTAGGAAATACAGTTGTGGCATTAAATGATCATAAACCATTAAGGATCCAAAGTACATGTTGAAAAACAAACAAACCATAATATATCGAGAAAAAAAACATATATTGAGATTTTTTTAGCTGAGGCAACTATCCATCAGATACCACATATCTAAGTAAGTAAATGTCATCATATGGTCCTGTAACAATGAACAAAAACTATACTAGAAATTAAGCTATAAAAGCTAGTAAAATGACAAAATGTCTTAGGACAATAACTTACTAAATGAGTACGGGTTAACCATGTTAATGAGGGCTCAACCTTCCATTAACCCGAGAAAGTGGTGTTACAGCACAAATTGAGAACGAACTGTAAAACCAGTTGAAAAAGGCTTGACTCATCAAATCAATACAAAGCCCCATTATTCAAAACCAATTAAAAAAAATTAAAAAACAGGTTTTCAAGACTGAAATATCAGTCAGTTTACCTCCAGTGGATTTAATATGAAGATGCAATTACCAGTCTAAGAAAACCATGACACTGTGCAATTCCAAAACTTAAGTATCAAACAATATGTAGTTCCTGAAGTGTTCACAACTGTATAAAAATACATATTTAGTTATGTTTTAATTCATATATAACAAAATCAATTAAAGAACAGATAAAAAATATTTAGTTGATTACCTTTTAGAATAAGTATTAAAAGAATGGATAACTTTACATGTACTCATGTCTGGTCATGTACCAGTATGCACTATCATAGCTTTTTGAGATAAGTTTTTTTAATTTTAGTCAATGTGTTTCAAAGGACACATTATTTAATTTAGCTACCTTTGTACTGAAATTAGATCGATGACAACTTTTTATGTATAACTATACATTTTTTCTCCTCCATTTTATATGTGTTCTAATTTTTTTACAGAATGTGTAGGACTTAAAATACATCAGCCCGGCACATCCAGGTTTGAACATCCTCAGGCTATTCTTCAGGGTGAACAGAACAATGCAAGTTGCTAAAAGACTGCCAATGGCTGACAAGAGAAACGTATGACATAGTGGGATGCCATTAGCTGGTACAATTGTCATGGAGAATAAGGTGTTCAGCGTGTGGCAGGTGGTCACACTTTTAATGTGTCAATACAACAACACATGAGGGACATGTAGTATAATAGAAAATGAAAGCGACAATTCATGTAAAAAAGAAATATTCTTTTATATGCCCCACCTACATTAGTAGAGGGGCATTACATTTTCTAGTCTGTTCGTTTGTCCGTCTGTTCCGCTTCAGGTTAAAGTTTTTAGTCAAGGTAGACTTTGATGAAGTTGAAGTCCAATCAACTTGTTACTTAGTACACATTTTCCCTATGATATAATCTTCCTAATTTTAATGCCAAATTAGAGTTTTGACCCCAATTTCACGGTCCACATAGAAAATGATAGTGCGAGTGAGGCATCCATGTACTATGAACACATTCTTGTTTTTATATGCATACATTTTCAGTGATGTATTTAAGCTAAAAAGTTTGTTGAAATTAGAACATCTTAATAATCCAATTGATTTTGAACAGCACAAATTTCTTAGATATTTATGTAATTGATACAAAATTGATTTTTCATGTGACAGGAAATGCTGAAATACAACCAGGGGATAAATTTAGAAAATAAATATTTGTGAATCTTTTATTTATCTTTTTATATCTTTGTATATGGCATTGTTTAGATTGCATGACCAACCAACTTGTATTAGGTTATAGACTCTTTATTCGTGTTTGATTTGATTTTATTGTATTTGAAATGTTGTAAAATATAATTGGAAAGCCAAAAATATTGTTTACTCAGTCATCTAATTATTTACGTGTATCAAAATTATTACAAATGCAGCCTTCTTCCTACAATGAAAGCACAATCCCAATTTATGAGCATTTACTTGTGCTGGCTAATACTGGGAAAAACAGTTGACCATGATATGCCCAAGTATGCTGCAGAGCCAAAACAACACTTTGATTCTGTCAAAATATTATTGAAATTCACTAACAAAAAACTGTTGAAATATACAAACATACATAACATTAAGAGTAATTAAGGCAAGAATACATTGAGGACTGTAAAGTTAAACATACAACCTGTGACCAATTATCTTCGTTTGACCATAAAACTGTGTGAAAATATCGTATACACTACCAAATGCAACCAAGTGACAAAATTCTAGATGTGAACAGTGTCTCTTCATAACCATAGCCTATATTAATACTGTTGTGTAATGTTGGAAGGAATAACTGGTTGAATTTTCAAATAAAAATACAGAGTAAAGGCGTATATTAATCATATATACTAGTATATCTAAGGTTCAAATCTACAGGTTTTTTTTACATGGTTTATATATATATATATATATATGGTTCTCATATGAAGTAGTTTTTATAATGTGGAGTTCTTCGATACAGGTTGTTTTAACAGGTAGTTCATGGTTCTTAAAACAAAAGGATTCAAATTGGTATGCGTCTTAAGTACTGGTTATGTAAAAAAGCCTTGTAAGCTTTTTTACATAACCAGTACTTAAGACACATACCAATTTGAATCCTTTTGTTTTAAGAACCACGAACTACCTGTTAAAACAACTACCTGTTCTTCAATACAGTTAATGTTTTTGGTGGGTTTCATGTTGCTCAGTCTTTAGTTGTCTGTTTTCTGTTTTGTGTTTTGTATAATTTTGTTTGTTGGTATTTTTTCCCCTTTTTTAGCCATAGTGTTGTCAGTTTATTTTCGGCTTATGATAGATATAAGAAGATGTGGTATGAGTGCCAATGAAACAACTCTCCATCCAAGTTACAATTCATAAAAGTAAACCATTATAGGTCAAAGTACGGTCTTCAACACAGAGCCTTGGCTCACACCAAACATCAAGCTCTAAAGGGCTCCAAAAATGACTAGTGTAAAACCATTCAAACGGGAAAACCAACGGTTATGAGTTTGAATGTCTCTTTGGTATCTTTTGCCTCTCTTGTTTATACATAACATGGTTCTTAGATACAGGTTGGTTATCAAAGAAAATTAGTTCAATATGATGGATTTCTATACATTGTGTGTTTCTGGATACACGATGTCTATAATATCAAGATACAAGTTGTCTGGGTATGGTTCCTAGATTCTAGTTTTCTATATTTCGTATGGTTCCTGGATACATATTGTCTATATACGGTGTGGTTCCTCAATATGAGTTGTCTATAGATGGTGTGGTTCCTAGATACAAGCTGACTATATATTGTGTGGTTCCTAGAAACATGTTGTCTATATAAGGTGTGGTTCCTCGATCTAAGTTGTCTATAGATGGTGTGGTTCCTAGATACAAGTTTTAAATAAATGGTATGGTTCATAGAAATACGTTAGTTATAGAAGGTATGGTTCCTAGATATAAGTTATTCATATAAAAGAGGGACGAAAGATACCAGAGGGACAGTCAAACTCATAGACCGAAAACAAACTGACAACGCCATGGCCAAAAATAAAAAGACAGACAAATAATAGTACAGATGACACAACATAGAAAACCAGACTAAGCAACACGAACCCCACTAAAAACTGGGGGTGATCTCAGGTGCTCCGGAAGGGTAAGCAGATCCTGCTCCACATGTGGCACCCGTATATAAGGCGTGGTTCCTAGATATAAGTTGTTTATATGTGGTTTGGTTCTTAGATACAAGTTTTCTATAGATGTAATGGTTGCTGGATACAAGTTTTAAATACATAGTATGGTTCCTAGATATAAATAAACTCATCATAGATACCAGGACTACATTTTTTATTTACGCCAGACGCGCGTTTTGTCTACAAAAGACTCATCAGTGATGCTGGAATCAAACAAAGTTAAAAAGGCCCAAAAAAGTACGAAGTTGAAGAGCATTGAGGACTAAAATTCCTAATTTTTTTGCCAAATACAGCTAAGGTAATCTATTCCTAAGGTTATCTTAAGATGGTGTGTTAAGATGGCGTGGTTCTTAGATACAAATTGTCTATAGATGGTGTGGTTCCCAGATACAAGTTTCAAATAAATGGTATGGTTTCTAGAAATAAGTTATTTATTGAAGGTATTGTTCCTAAATACAATATATGGTGTTGTTCCTGGATACGGATACAAGTTGTCTTTAGATGGTATGGTTCCAAGAAATAAAAGAGGGACGAAAGATACCAGAGGGACAGTCAAACTCATAGATCGAAAACAAACTGACAACGCCATGGCCAAAAATAAAATAACTTAGTCTTATGGAGATGAAACGCACGTCTGGCGTATTAAATTATAAGCCTGGTACCTTTGCTAACTATTAGCATGTATTA